CACTGGGGGAGGCTGATGGAGGCTGGGAGAGGCTGGGGGAGCACTGGGGGAGGCTGATGGAGGCTGGGAGAGGCTGGGGAAGCACTGGGGAGGCTGGTAGAGGCTGGTAGAGGCTGGGGGAGGCTGATGGAGGCTGGGAGAGGCTGCGGGAGCACTGGGGGAGGCTGGGAGAGGCTGGGGAAGCACTGGGGGAGGCTGGTAGAGGGTGGGAGAGGCTGGGGAAGCACTGGGGGAGGCTGGTAGAGGCTGGGAGAGGCTGGGGAAGCACTGGGGGAGACTGGGAGAGGCTGGGAGAGGCTGGGGGAGCACTGGGGGAGGCTGGGAGAGGCTGGGGAAGCACTGGGGGAGGCTGGTAGAGGGTGGGAGAGGCTGGGGAAGCACTGGGGGAGGCTGGTAGAGGCTGGGAGAGGCTGGGGAAGCACTGGGGGAGACTGGGAGAGGCTGGGAGAGGCTGGGGGAGCACTGGGGGAGGCTGGGAGAGGCTGGGAGAGGCTGGGGAAGCACTGGAGGAGGCTGATGGAGGTTGGAGAGCACTGGGAGAAGCTGAGATAGCTGCTTCTGGTCTGCCTGCTTTGCTCTCAGGCTGGTCTGACCCTCCTTGTTCTGCCTGGTTAGGGTGGTGTTAGTCTCATGAGTCAGTGTCAGGGAATTTGAGTGAAGGAAAGTGGGTCGGATGTGGGAATATGGCTCTGCAGTGCATTGACTTCACCCAGTTCTGAAGCTGTTTTTCAAGTTGTGATTCCTTGACAGGTGAACTCTGGTCTCCTGGTAGAGGAAACAGAGTCCTACCTGACTGGGCAGAGGAGATGGTGGTCAGGGATCTCTGCCTCTTACAGATTTTCAGTAACCTTCCTGCCTGCAGCCAATCCAGCTGCGGGACCCGGGCTCACTCTGTTCCCTGGGTGCTTTTTGGCTTTCTTCGCCCCACCCAGTCCCCTCCACTTCATGCTCCTCGCTCCACCTCCCAAGGCTCCAAGCTCAGGGTGGGCTCCCGGTTTGTCATTTCCTCCCCTTTTGTCCTTTGGGTTCCTGCATGTTTTCCTCCTTTGCAGTGGACTAGCGGGGTTTAGGGAGGCGTGGAGGTCCAGGCAGGCAGCATCTTGGCATGACGCGGGCCGCAGAGCGTTCACACAGGATCTCTTCATTCTTCCTGCAGCTGTCATGGAAGGGGTCTTCGCTTATTTATTTTTGGTTGATGTTCTTTCTTTCCCCAAGTGCATTTAAGGATAAAAAGAAAACAAAGAGCTTCACCATCATGACAATTTTAATTTTGTTTCTATTTCTTTACATAGTTGGAGTCACAGATACTGTTGCTTTTTTCCCCCCACATATTCTATAATTATTTTCTTTGTTTTATATAGATGCTACATTTACATTCAATTTAAAAAATAATTACATGTTGTTTTATGGAATCATGATATCATGATTTAAACTCTTTTCTATAGGGATATTAATGAGTTTTCATTATTTTAAGTAATTGTACAATGCACAACTTTGGGCAGGAAAAGCCTTTTTTCAATACTTGGGAATATGTTCTTTGAACTCCTAGAAGCACAATTACTATGTAAAAAATTAAGACCATTTTTAAGATTCAGAATATAAATTTCCAGTTGCTTACCAAAATGAAAAACTACTTTTTAAAATGCCTCTTTGCCTCCTCAACAGTTGGTGATCATCTTATTTTCCATTATCTGTGCTAATTATGTAAATGTAGTTTTCTAGGTAACCATAAGTGAATGTAAATTTCCAAAGGTTGAATATCTGATAACGATCCCTACTTCCAGCTCAGAGCTTCCACCGTCATCAATGCTGCTTCCTCATCTTCTCCTTCCTGATCTCTGACCCACAGATCATCTACCTCCATTTAATTAGTCTGCCTTTCAATTCCAGGCACAGTGTGTGTGTTCTAATTTCTTGCATTTTCTTACTGCTCCTGGGGCTTATTCTGCCTTCCTTCCTCTGACCCAATTTTCATTTGTCTTGAAGAACCAACCGAGGTGCTCCCGTCTCCTTGACTCCCACCTGAAGGAGTTCTGCTGAATGTTAATGTCCCTTTTGCTGATTTTCTACACTCATGTAGCATTTGCCTTGTGCCTTGTTACTTTCCCTCCTTTTCTTAAACGAAGCTGCTGAGGGGCAGATATCAAATCTTTTTAGACAATTCTGTGTCTTTTACAGTATTCTGCAAGGAGCTTTTCAGATAATTCTAGCACAGTAGGAGCTTGTTTAATGAATGGATACAGCATGGGAATAAAGTGTAAGAATGTGTGGCTGGCCGACTTGACCAGAGACACGCGTGAGAACAGGATTGCAGGTGGGGACAGGAGGGCTTGCCGCTGTGACGCCTTCCGTGATTGCATAGCACACACTGCTTTTTCTAGATCTGAGGATGTTTTGTTTTCTGTAGGAGCATCTGCTTCTCCGCTGAAGATACTCTGCACCCCAGAAGGAATACGACTTCAGTGCTCCATGAAATATTTTATGGAAGAAATGAAAGTGAACTGGTGTCACAAGTAAGTACGATAGCAAGCAGTGGAGGCCGTGCCATAGAGGGGCCAGGCAGGGTGCACAGAGGGCAGGGCACACGGCTGGGGCCAGGAGCTCTGTGGGGAACATCAGGGCACTGCTATTTCCTCAACATTTGATGATTTTGAGCAGCTGTGACAACCTTTAGTTCAGGGAAGGGAGCCCTCACAGCAGTGGAGAGGACGTGGAAGAAGGAGACAGAGAAGAAATGCCTGACGGTGTTAGAGACAAATTTCTCCTGTGTCTTTGTTTACCAAAGGTGGCTCAATTGGGAACACACATTTTCTCTGGAAGTGAGCAGAGAGCTAAGGCAGAAATAATAAATAATGTGTAGAAACCAGACTCCATATTTCCAGTCTGTTGGTTTCCCACTAGACTTGATTAAAAGGACCAAAACAAGCCCAATCATTAAAATTAAAAAAGAAAGAATATAAGACCACGTCTGAATACACATTGTAATAACCTTGAATACAGCAGGGTTTTCTGTATTTCGTGCTTCTCTAGGTCAGGAAGGGTCACTGAGAAAACTCCCAGAGACTTTTCATGCAATCTACAGCACTGGGCAGGTCCCTGCTGCCCTGCCCCGGGGTCTGGCTCCTTCCTATCCAGAGCACAGGCTGACATCTGAAACAACCAGGCAAACTGCTCACTGAATTGAGGAGTCCCTGAAACAGGACTCGTGTCAGGGTCACCAACCCCTTAGACATAACCGCAGTTGAAAGTGGACTTCAGACCGAGCAGACAGTGGCTTTTTATCGATCTCTACACTATCCTAATGACAACATGTTCAGGCCAGTTATTTCATGGTGGCAAGGTACCCAAATGTAAATCCTCCTCAGTGCACTATACCCAGGGCGTCCACACTGTGCCTTTGGATATCATAGTTAGCTAATGAATATTTCTAAAGGCAAGTCCATGGTTATGACTGTTTCGCTTTTAATATCACTGGTTTGCTTCAGTGACTGTATTTGTAAGTAAACTGAAGTGCTGAAAGCATATATGTTCTTAGTTTTTTTTCTATTTCAATTTTTGACATACTATGCTTCTGTCTTATAATAGTCAGTACATCTTGGAATCGTGCACGTCTTTAATTTGACCAGCCTGGTGTTCAAACTAAATGGAGTCACATAGATCCCACGTTAAGGGTTTGGTTAGGGAAGTGTATTAAAGGCAGTGTCTTTTTTTATAGGATTGTGATAACAGGATCTTACAGGACTGGAACTCTGGTGTGTCTTTGCAATATAATTGTTTATCAGGATTTATTTTCTAGGACAATGAGTAAATCTATGTTTCTAGCTGAACGAAACCTTCCCCTAGAAGAGGAGATTAATCATGAGCATCTTTGAGCTTGCTTGTTCTTTACGGCGTATTGTCCTGCTGTAAGTTGTACACAATTGTAATGTGTGTCCTGCTGACCGTTGTAAACATGTTCATCTTCTGGAAGAGGCCACCTCCTCTTTAGACTTGTGTGGATCATAGTAAAGGCTGTGTGCTATGCTGGCTCTGGAGGTACAGAGATTAAATACACACCCACACACAGGATTAAACACACGCCCTGTGCGTGTGTGTGTAGATATAGGTTGTGTCAGCATCAGCAAGCAGGTACTTTGTGTTACACATTCAACACGCTATTCCATTTAATCCTCACAAATGCCCTGTGAGTTAGATATTTATACCCACATTTTATAGATATGGAAACTGGGGTTCAGGGAGAGAAACATGTCAGTTTGTCAGTCACACTACTAGTAAGTGAAAGAGGGGGGATTTGAATGCTGGTTGGTGTGGTTCTAATCGGTGCTCTCCCGAGGAGCTCCAAGCCCAGTGGAGGGGTTGGGTCCTAGACAGGCAGGCAGGTTGGGGCACAGCTCATGCATCTGACTCATCCTGACCGTGGATCAGAAGAAGCATCCCTGGATACAAAAAGAGGCAGAAGTGTTACTGTACAGTCCTACAGACTCGTAAAAGTAACATTATTTCTGCGTTTATTCTTCCCCAAACAAATTCATTATACCATAGAAGAGGCATTTCTTTAGTACCTTTATAACTAAACTATACCTTTAAGACCTCAACTGGGCATATACACTAAATGTCAGTAACTTCTAGTCGTATCTTACTATTTGACTATTAAACAACATGAAACTGTTACGTAACCATCATATATGATTGTAATTCACTGTTTTGTGACCAAATGCATTCTTATCAGATGGCAACTGGAAAAAAAGAATACTAGGAAAATTTGTTGAAATATCCTTTAGCCATTTGAGGCTAAATAATCCACTTCGCAAAACCTATGATGCCAGGGAATGGAGCTATCGAAGACTGGTGCTGTGGGTCCTGGAATATTTTGTGTTAATGGGTGACATTGAATCAATAGAGTGCAATGAGAATTTTGTGAAATGCAGACGTAAGCAAAGGCAATTGTTCTTTAGTTGAAAATGCTGAGTAATCCATCAGAGGCTGTAGAAGATGTCACTTTAAGGGAAAGTTGGAAACTTACTCAACATGAGTTAGAAGCAGGCAAAGAGAAAATCAGCAAAAATGGTCTTGAGAAAGAAGATTTTGTTCTCTTACTCAGAGGTAAGATTAATATATCATCTAGACATGACTAGATCTCAAATTCTTAAAGTATTGATCACTGAAGTCTTGAAAGTATCTCTGAAACTAAAGAAATTTCACTCTCTCTCTCTCCCTCCCTCCCTCCCTCTCTCTCTCTCTCTTTTTTTTTTTTTTTTGGACAGAGTCTTGCTCTGTCACCCAGGCTGGACTGCAGTGGAGCCATTCTAGCTCACTGTAGCCTTGACCTCCTGGGATCAAGTGATGCTCTTGCTTCAGCCTCCTGCGTCTCTGGGACCACAAGTGTGCACCACCATGCCTGGCTAGTTTATATATATATATTTTTTTTTTTGTAAAAACAGGGTCTTCCTATATTGTCCAGGCTGGTCTCCAACTCCTGGGCTCAAAGATCCTCCCACCTCAGCTTCTTAAAGCACTAGAATTGCAGGCATGAGCCACCTTACATGCCCCACAGTGTCTTCATGGCATAAAAAGAAGCGCATGCTTCAAACTCCAAATGTGTATTTAATTCAGTTCAGGAGATTTCACATGCAGAGTCTGACTTTGTAAACACTCTCCTCAAATCTCAACTAACCCTTGAACTAACCGGGAGGAGAGAAGCCTGGCGACACCTCAGATACCTTCCCCTGCCCTTCTTCGTCCTTATGTCCATGGGTTGGGTGGGAGGGGCCGTGGCTGGCTGTGTCTCCAGTGGGAAGGGCTGGGTGGTGATGGGACCTTCCCTCTGACCTGGCTGCGGCTTCAGCTGATGTGTGAGGTGCCTTGTGGTCCTGGCCTGTGACAGCTGCAGGGGTGGGAGCTCCAGGTGTGGCTTCTTAGAAAGCACAGGGCATCTCCAGTTCTCTGCGTGTGTTCTGATGTTCACTATTTGGATAGCGGTAGCAAAAGGCTGCTGGACATGGGAAGATCCCTCAGGCTGTCCCATCTTGTGGGGCTCTTCCTGCAGGAGGTCTGTGTTTCTCAGTACTGTCTTCTCCAGCCTAGAAGCAAATACTTCCTAGCTTTTGGGAATCTTTCCCTTTTAACTACATTTCCCTTCAAAAGGGGAGTGAGACCTAGGTGGAGTTCACTTGAATGTCGCACGACATTGAGAAGAGCAAGTCTTACTTTCAGCTGAGACACCGCAGCGCTATTTAAACCTCAGAGCTATTGTCTGTAATGGCCTTCAGGGACTCGCCAGAACCACCGCCTCTGAGGCTCTGGCTTTGTTCTTGTGCTTCTGTCAACCTGCCTCTGCCAGTCATTATTATTAGTACTATTATTTTGAGACAGAGTATTGCTCTGTCTACCAGGCTAGAGGGCAGTGGCGTGATCTCAGCTCACTGCAATCTTTGCCTCCCGGGTTCAAGTGATTCTCCCACCTCAGCCTTCCAGGTAGCTGGGATTACAGGTACCTGCCATCATGCCCAGCTAATTTTTGTATTTTTAGTAGAGATGGAGTTTCACCATGTTGGCCAGGCTAGTCTCGAACTCCTGACGTCAGGTGATCCACCCACCTCAGCCTCCTAAAGTGCTGGGATTACAGGTGTGAGCCACCGTGCCCAGCCTGTCAGTCATTACTAATTGCAGACTTAGTTTTTAGATTTTTGCACTTGTGTTATTTCCAACCATTTATTTTAATGTAAATAATATTCATTTACAAATATATAATATTTCTAAATCATTCACTTTGAAATAATTTTAGACTCATAGAAAAGTTGAGAAGAAAGTACAGAGTTCCCTTCCATCCTCTAACCCTCTTCCCCTGAGGTTAATGTCTTGTGTAGCCACCTTATAACCATCAAAACCAGGAGCTGATCGATGGTATAATGCTGTTAACCAGCTACAGACCAATTCAGATTGTGCCTGTTTTTCCAGGAGCGCCCTTTCCATGTTCCAGTGTTGAATCTCAGGTCCCACGCTGTGATCAATGTCCTGGCCCCTGGTTTTCCCAGTCTTAGATACTTCCTCAGGCGCTCCTTATCTCTACCTGGGTGCCTTGAAGTGTTCTGTCCATCACTTAAAAGCACACCCTTCCGTTTGGCTTTATCCGATGTTTCCCATGTTGGATGGTGACACAGTTTTAACCGGAACACAATAAAAGCCATGCTGATATCTGATCGCTGGGCTAAGGCAATGTCTGCCCTGCCTTTTTCTGGGAAAGTTACTATTTTTCCCTTGGTAATTAGTAAATACTTTAGGATTTGGCAAGTCTCTTGTCCCTCCCCAGACCTGTGCGCTGGACTGTGAGATTCCGCAGTGAATCTGGCCTGCAGTACTGGTTTCTGAGGCTCTGGGTAGAGGGTGGTTTTCTAGCTCCCTCTTCCCCCTCCATTTGCTCTGCTAGGAGGTGTGGCCTCGCCTCTGTGCAGTTCCTCATTCAGCTGCTTGGCTGCGTCGGTTTGGACTCGGGGATGCTGATTTTATTCTGTGA